ATATATATATGTTCCCTATGTATTTGCCATATACAGTATAATCCTTTGTCAGAAATACTGAAGACTTTTATATCAGACAGAAACACTACTGCTGAAGAGTCCTTGAGAGGAGAAACATTTCACWGCATTCTCTTGATATCAGCAACACTGAACAGACAGGCCAGAACACAAAGGTCATTTCTGATAAGCAGAAAAAAACGGTTTTTCTGTCGAGACAGACACATGAACAGAGTGACTCAGCTTCTCCCCAAAAACATTTATTGCAGTACTGTATAAAGTAAAGGAGTGAKTCAATGATAAAGCTCTGTTTATACTATATAAAGTAATAATTGTTCCACTAATCTACAGTACTGTACTGATGTTTGCGGAATAGCATGTAAAACAATTACAAATCCTATTTTTATTTTACAAAGAAGAGCTGTTAATTATTACAGGAAAGCCTTACAGTTACCCATCAAACACATTATTTTATCAGTTGAAGTTATTGAAATTCAATGATTTGGTTGATTATAGTATTTTATCAGTCATTTATAGGGCTCATAAAAACACATTACCTTCAAACATCCTATTACATGTTGTTAAAAGAGAGAGTTGTTATAATCTCWAGGGGATAGAGATGTTTGTTAAACCTAAATTTAGAACCAGTTTGAAGGAACGGASTACTTCAGTCCAGGGAATAAGATTATGGAATAATCTGGAAGATGGTGTTAAAAACATCAAATCAATGGGTGCATTTAAGAGAATGATAAAGCTTAGTCTATTGGAGAAACATGTAATGGTATAATGTGTATTTATACAAGTTGTTGTTGTAGGAGTTTAACCTTTTATTTATTTATTTTCTTCTTTTTTTGTTTTGTTTTTGTTATTTGAAGACTATTTTTGTTAAAATGTATTTTTTCGAGAAAAGGGGCAGATATAAGATTTGTTCTTCTGCTATCTTTCATTTATGTTTTCTATTTTTATTGTGTATAGAATTTATGTAGTTTTCTTTTAAAATGAATGAATAAACTAAACTAAATTAAAAAACTAAACTAAACTAGAAACCTACAAGGCATACCTAGCACTTCCAGAAAGGTGGTCTCTGTGTGGACCACAGGGGTGATGATCCTACAGGTGTACAGGCCTTCATCAGCCACAGAGATATTCCAAAGATGTAGAGAGACGTCACTCTGAAGCATCTGTTTCTCATCCACTGCAGAGCCTCTTCTGCTCACATGAGCTTTTCCATCCTCAAACATGTAAACAGTAACCTTCTGTGCATGACTGTCCACCATGTTCCACTCAACAGTGAGAGCACCTGGCTCCACCAGTCTGGACTGTTGGTCAAACAGGCAGCCGAGGGTCACCTCTGAACCCACCGAGACGCTGAGCTTTCTGGAACCATCRGCCAGGAAACCTGAAACACAAAAACCATCATCTGCTTAGAATGAAGRGCTGTCCAAACATAAAGTATAACTTTAAAATAATTTAAACTTTGAAAAATGATTATATTTTAATGTTTGTGTTGTATAAGAAGTACTAAGAGATTTAATATCAAAATAAATGTTAAACAAGGGGAGCAGTGGGTAGTCACATGTTCAACTCCCCACCATGCCCACAAGTTGTGGTATCTTTGAGCAAGACACCTAATCCCCAACTGCTCCCTGGGTACCATAGCTGCTGCTCAAAGCTAACATGTATAAATCATCTGTGGAGACTAATCAGTGCTGTAAATCACATTCTAACACTGATGGGACATCAGAGGCATTAGGGGTGAAGTGTCGCCCAGGGACACTTCG